GGGAGGAGAGAGAGGGACCCAGCTGGACTCAGTGGGCAGCTGGCGAGCAGATGGAAGAGAGGGAAGAGGTCTGGGCTTCCTCCTTTGTGCAGAGGCTGGAGCTGTCCAGGACCCCCAGGACCCCTTCCTTGGATGGGCCAAGGAGAGGACAGTGACCACATCAGACGCATCCCTTGTCTCCGGCTCTCACGCCTTCTCAGTCGCCCAAACTTTCCATTCTTTCTTCGCTTCCTTGGAACCCCCACTCTGGGCTTCTAGAGCCTTGTTCTGAAGTCTGAAGAGGCAATGCTCCCACTTTAGATTATTCCTGGTGAGCCAGGACATCCCAGCCCCAGAAAACAGGAGCTTGGAGGTGGGGGTGGGGTGTCTTCCATGCCTCTTCCTGCCCTGACCTCCCAAGGCTGCTCCTCGCAGGGGGTCAATTCCTCAGGAAATGCAAGGCCTTGGAGGGTGAAGGACGTAAGGGCTGAGGGCCAGAAAAACACAAAACCGGCCGCTTTTGTTCCAGTTCAGAAGGGGAAGGCTCGGCCTGGACCCACATCTGACCACAGCACCCCCTGCAGGGAGCTCTGTCTGCTGGGGGCTGTTAGTGTGGTCGAAGCAGTCCCTCAGGCACCTCTGGGCCTCAGAGCCTTCAGGATGGATCAGGGTGGGCAGTGAAGGGGAAGTTGGGGGAAGGGAGGGGAGGGACACCCCACCTCTGCTCTGCTTTCTCCCTCCCCTGCCCCAGAGGCCCGCGGCCGCCGGGGGAACAGGGCAGGCGCCTCCAGATGGGCTCCTGGCTGGCAGCCCTGGTGCAGCCGTCTGCCCGTGCCTGGCTGGCGGGGACTTCTAGGGAGTGTCTGTGGCTCCCTTTCTGGGGGCAACACTCAGGGTTTCCTTATCAAGAAGTCAGGATCTGTTCTAGTGGAAGCACCCTGGATTTGAGAGTGGAAGAGCTGAGTTCCAATCTCAGTTCTAGGCTTTGGACAGATCCTTTCTCTCTGGGTCTCAGTTTTCCCATCTATGAAGTGAGGCAATGACTATAGTTTGCTTTTATACCATACTTCAAAGCTGACAAAGCACTTCTACAAATAGTATCCAACAGTGACACTAATAGTAGCTAGCGTTTGCAGAGCACCTACTGGGTGCCGAGCACTGCGTTAAGCACTTTGCACATCTCTCATTTGGTCCCTACAACAACCCTGGGCACTGCTGGCCTTTACGGCCCTCACCTGACAGATGAGGAAAATGAGGCCGGAGTAAGTGACTTGCCTAGAGACACACAGCTCCTCAGTGTCTGAGGCTGGATTGGAACCCAGAGCTTCCTGACTCCAGGCTCCCGGCTTTAACCCCAAATTCAAGGTGCCTTGCTATTTCTTGCTGCTCTCCTGACTGATTCAGGGCCAGCCTTTCTGGCAGGGCTGCCGCCATGGTGATTCGGGTCCCCGCACTCCCGTACATACACATTTAGAGGCAGCTGAGGAGGAGGCCCCAGAAGGGGTGACTGGGGAAGCCCCTCCTCGCTCTGGTCCCGTTCTCTTCTTTATAGGACAGAGCTAGACCAGATGAGTGGAAGTGCCCTTGCAGCTCAGAATCTGAGTCCTGCGAGCCCAAGGGCCTTAGCAGAGGCAAGGCTGCAGGAAGAGCCTCCAGCAGGCCGCAGGCTCTGAGCGGCCACTGGCCTCAAGTCCTCAGTATCTCTGAGGCCCAAGGACTGGGCAGGCGGTGTGGCCTGGGGTGGGTGTTTGGCAGGCAGGGCATGTGCATCCACAGAGGAAACAGGGGCCCTAGCTTTGGTAAACGGACCAATGCACCGAAGAGGTGGTGGGGTAAGAAGGCAGTACCGGGGATCTGTGTGCCTGTCAGTGGGCCGGCAAGGCACTCAGGCCGGGTGCTGGAGTGCCCTTGATGCTCAGGGTCGGGGCCTCAGCTTTGAGGCCCCTCCAGGCTTGCTCTGGGACAAGGGGGCTCTAGGAGGCAAGGTCACACTGCCCAAAGCAGGGGTCGCCAGGTTAGAAGCCCTGGGGGCCTGGTTCCAGCTACACCCAGCCAGGATAGATTTCCTGATTTCCTCTTATCATGTCACCTGGGAAGGGGAATCAGATAGTAGGGATGGCCGCGTGAAAGGGAACTCAGGGATGCTTGGGCTGGCTCTGGTTACCCCCAGGGAACTGTCCCTGGTCCACTACACAGCTCACCTTTCCGGGGCCTGGAGTCCTTCTGCCCTCCCCTGGCCAAGGTTCGAGACATCCTCCCCATCCCCAGCTTGTGAAACCTTTCCAGCCTCTTTACATACCCAGGCTAGCACCTGCCCTGTGCTCGAGCCATGGGTGTGTGACGGGGGCGGAAAGGACCTCGAATCCCTTTTCTCTTCTCTCAGGTTTGTAGAGCGTTTTGCTCACAACACCCCTGAGAGGTCAGCAGTGCGAGAATCGCCAGCCCCATTAGCCAGAAGAGAGAACCAAGGCTGAGCAAGGCTGTAAACAGCGGGTCTGGAGTATCTTATATTCCATTGTGGACTCTCCTGGCCAAAAGAGGCCTTGGGGGTCAGCGAGCCCTGCCCAGACCTGGGTCAGAGCCCTTGCTGCCTGGTAGGAGGCAAATGGGGCTCCAGGCTCTTCAGGGATGAGGAGCTCATTCCCCTTCAAGGCAGCGCCTGCCGCTTTGGGCCAGCTCCCACTGCAAGGAAGATCTGCCTGGCCCCCAGCCTATGTCTGCCCTTTGGGCAGCTTCCCTGACCCCCTCAGACAGCTCAATCAAACCAAACCACCTGGCCCGGCCTGGCCCTATGGCTGACCACGCACTGCCATATTGCATCTCCAGGCCCCACCCTCCCCCTTTGCTCCTGAGGGTTCTGGGTCATGGAGTGAGCTGAAGGGGACCTTCTAGGTCAAGTTCAACTCCCCCTCATGTTTAGGGTTAAGTTCCTGGGGCCCAGAGAGGAGAGCAGTCACCTGCGCCTTCTTCCCGGAGCACACTGCTTCTCCCCAATGTCCTGTCCTTATCTGACCTCTGGGTCTCTTCCGGTAACCTGGGCCCAGGAGCAGCTTCGATGTTTCCTTTCATGCTGTCGTAACCTGGAATTCTTCTAACCCAACACCTCGGAACATGTTTCCCATATTTCTCCGAATCCCTCATGGTTACTCTGCCTCAGAGGCCAGAGCCCACCCTAACCCTCATTCCATTCCTGGCCCCACTTTGGGTTTTTTGTTTGTTTGTTTTTGTTTTTTAATTAACTTATTTTGATTTATCAACAATCACTTCCACATGCTTTTGACTTTATGATTTTTCTCCCCCTCCCTCCCCGCCTTTCTCCCCAAGACAGCACACAACCTCATATAGGCTCTACATGTACATTCCTATTAAACATATTTTCACATTAGTGATGTTGTAAATAAGGATTAGAACCAATAGGAAGAACCATAAGAAAGAAGAAACAGAACTCAACAGAAGAAAAAAAAGAGCAAATAGTCTGCTTCGATCTGCGTTCAGACTCCATAGGTCTTTCTCTGGATGTGGGCAGCATTCCCCATCACAAGGTCTCTGGAGATGTCTTAGATCCTTGCGTTGCTGAGAAGGGCTGAGTCTATCAAAGTTAGTCATCGCACAGCGTGGTTGTTACTGTGTACAGCGTTCTCCTGGTTCTGCTCACTTCACTCAGCATCAGACCATACAAGTCTCTCCAGGTTTTTCTAAAGTCCGCCTGTTCATCATTTCTTATAGCACAATAGTATTCCATTGCATTCATATACCACAACTTGTTCAGCCATTCCCCAATGGATGGGCATCCCCTACACTTCCAGTTATTTCTGGCCCTACTTTGTGCTCCTTTACTGCCCCCACCAAGGATGGCTGGGGGCCGGTTCCTCTGGGGACCTTTCTTTCTGGCCCCCGCAGGGCAGATGCCCAGGGTGGGAGGCCTGGGCGTCCCATAGTCTTCCAGAGGAGCCGAGCCCTGCCCAGTCCAACCCAGAGCCTCCTTCTCCTGTACCCTGACCAGCAGATGAGGCAGGAGGGGGTCAAACCCTGAGGGTGGGTTGAATTTGCATTTCTATTCATATTTGTCACATGACCCTGCATAGTTGTATTTCATCTTTTGAAAACTGTTCACATCCTTTTACCCCTTTGTATTAAGAATTGGCTCCTGGCCGGAGATTAGCATCCATTTCCTATTTATCTGGGATAAGGGTCTGCCAGGAGAGCTGGCCCAGAGGTTCCTCTCCCTCTAGGGTTTAGCTGCACCTGCCTGGCCTTTAAAGATAAATTCTGGCCTTGACAGCTGTCTCATGCCCTTTTCCTTGCAGTAGGAGAATCATGTTTGGTCAGGTTTGGTGATGGGAGGGTCACCAACTGAGTGGTGGCCACCTCCTGCTTACTGGGTCTGTCCTCACCAACCTGGACTGCCCAGATCTGCATTCGCCGATCTTTCACTGGCTGTCAGAGTTGGGAGGGGCCTTAAGGACCAGCCAGGACAACCCCTTGGCTTTACACATGGGGAAACTGAGACCCAGAGAGGGTGTCACAGTGCAAATTTAGTGGCAGAGCTGGAAGAGGAGCCTGGGCTGCTTTCACACCCAGAGGTTCGAGGTTTCTCTCTACCCTCGTATGCCCATCCTTGTAAGGAGCCATGCAAGAGAACCTGGCCACCTGGCAGATCTCAGGGCTCAGTGTGAATAGAAATCAGTCCATCAATAAGCATTTATTAAGCACCACCTGTGGTGCCAGGCACGGTGCCATGTGCTGGGACCCAAGGACAAAGAAGGAAAGGATCCCTGCATGCTAAGACTTGTCTATCTGAGGGGCCTATGACGATGATGTCATCCCAGGACCCCAGGCCAGTTCTAAATGCTTAGGAAGCTTCTCACTGGTGTCAGCAGGGAGAGGTACTGAGGCCAGGGAATGTCTCTGGGCTGGGGAGCCACCCGGGCCTCCTCCTCCTCCTCCACCTTCTGCTGCTCCCTGGGGCTTTTCTGGACCAGCCAAACAAATGCCCTTCTGCCTTTCCTCTGTCTCCCCAGGGCTTCCTTTCCTTCACCTTGGTGTTCTTCGTGGCAGTGCAGGTGACCTTCTGGAGATACCGGGAGCCGTCCAAGGTGAGTGAGGCCTCCTCACTTTGTCAGACAGGCTCTGGGCTCTGAGCTGGACCAGGGGTCTGCTTGTAAATGTTTAACCACCAGCTCTGGGTGGGGCGGGGCAGGGAATGACACACCTCCAATGTTTAATCTGCATTATTAATGTTTTCGATCACATTCTCAAGTCTAGACAGTCCACAAACAATCCCTCAAGCCTGGATTTGAAACATTTGCTGATTTCTGAGGTTTAAGGGTTCACAGTGACAGTGCACCAGTGAGGGTGGGAGGAGGATCCAGCCCACCCTGATTGGATCCTTAGGGATCTGTGGAAACCACAAGGGATGGAAAGACTAGGCAGGAGGAGGGGAGCTCAGCACTTCTTCCTAGGGCCAACCAGGAGGGCTTCCTGGAGGAAGCAGGCCCCCTGGGTCACAGTGGGTGGAGAGGTGATGGGTGTGGCCACAGGTGGCGCTGACCTAGAGAAGCTCAGAGGAGACCCAGGGGCCTGGCTCAGGCTTCTAGCTCCACCAAGGGTGAAAGCATGTCTTGTCCCCCTGCACCTAGAGGCGCAAAGTATATCTTGAGCTGGCTCCGGATTCCTTCCTGGAACTGGTGATGGACCCCAGGGCACCATGCCAAGACTCAGCTTCCTGCTGCCAACCTGGCGAGAGCTGGGGGGGGAGGGGAGATGCCAGACCCTGGGGGGCAGGGACCCCTGGGGGCACAGGCAGAGTATGTTCCTTACTGCTTGGCAGTGTCTCTCTCCTCTGGGCCAGGGTATGGGGCTGGGCATAGAAGGCTGAGGAAATAATATTAACAGTAATGGGGAGGAGGATAATTGGAGAGACATCTGCCATGGTGGAAAGTGTGGTGGGGAAGAAAGGGGGTGAGAGAATAGAGAGAGGAGAGAGATGGAGAGACAGAGAAAGAGAGAGAGAGAGAGAGAGAGAGAGAGAGAGAGAGAGAGAGAGAGAGAGAGAGAGACAGAGGCAGACATAGAGAGAGAGAGAGACAGAGAGGCAAAGACAGAGAGAGACAGAGACAAAGAGAGGAGAGAGAGACAGAGAGCGACAGAGAGAGAGACAGAGAGACAGAGACAGAGAGAGAAACAGAGACAAAGAGAGACACAGAGAGACAGCGAGACAAAGAGAGAGGCAGAGACAGAGAAAGACAGAGACAGAAAGACAAAGACAGAGAGAGGAAAGAGAGAGACAGAGAGACAGAGAGAGAGACAGAGACAAAGAGAGACACAAAGAGACAGAGAGACAAAGAGAGAAAGACAGAGACAAAGAGAGGCAGAGACAGAGACAGAGAGACAGAGACAAAGAAAGAGGCAGAGACAGAGACAGAAAGACAGGGACAGAGACAGAGACAGAGACAGAGAAAGGAGAGAGAGAGACAGAGAGAGAGACAGAGAGAAACACAAAGAGACAGAGAGACAAAGAGAGACAGAGACAAAGAGAAACAGACAGACAGAGACAAAGAGAGAGACAGAGACAGGGACAGAGACAGGCAGAGAGATTTGGCCTCAACACCAGGAAGGCCTGAGTCTAAGCCCTGCCCTGGGAGGGGGAGTTTCCTGCCTGGGAGTCCTGTCTCTCAGTGAGATTCCAGGCCCAGACCCAGCCATCACCTGGAAAAAGCTGGTAACTCTCATTTCTAGAGTCTTTTGAGTGTCCCAGAGCTTTTGCTCACAACAAGCCCTCGTACAGATGAGAGCCTGGAGGCTCGGAGAGCAGTGTGCTGTGACCTGGCCCCAGGAAAGGCCCATGACGGCTCCATGGGGAGGGCGGGCTGTGGGTCCGGCGTGAGCTCCCTCCAGGCCTGACTGTGGGTGGCCGCTCCTGGGCCGGGTCGGCTGAGGCTCAGTACGGTCCTAGCGGAAGCTGGTGCTGAGCCTCGAGGCAGCCACCTGTCCTGGTCAGAATGGCCTCTGGTGACACCTCTGGGTAAACTGCTCTCCCCTTTGCAGAGAGGGCTCCATGGTTGGGACCTGGTCATGGTCTATGTGGCATCCATATGATCAGAACCTACATGGTGTCTAGAGGCCCGATCTGAGGAATGTGGACAGATGGTCCTACCCTCAGGGAGCCCCAGTCTGGAACATGGGGAACCCAACTCCAGATTGTGAGGAAAGGCACGGCTCTGCCCGAGGAGCTAACAGACCAGTCCCGTGTCCTCACCAAGGGTGAGGTGTGGGGCCAGAATCAGCCAAGCTCCCGAGCCTTCAGTGGCCCCTGTGGGCATGAGCAGAATGTCCAAAGGAAGCTAGAAAGCCTGGCCAAAGATGACAGGGGCTTGATGATGCTTCTGTTGCTGCTGGCACATGGAAAAGAAGGTTTGTGTGAGGATAGACTCAGGGATGATCAAAGTACTGGTCACTGTAGCGAGCAAGTCCATAACACATTCCATACTCACAACAATCCTGGAGGCAGGTGCTCTTATGATCCCATTTTGCAGATGAAGAAACAAACAGAGGTTATGTACCTTGCAGGATCACACAGTAGGTGTCAGAGGTCAAATTTGAACTCAGGTCTTCCTGACTCCAGGTCACTGTGGCACAAATCTGGGGTGTGCCTAATTTAAAAATTAGAAGGTGAGAAAAGGGAATGGGGCCAAGGTACACCATATATTAAGGGAATATGCTTAGGTGAGAACATCCACGCCCAAGATGGGTGTACATGGTGGAGAGCATTGGATAAAAATTGGTGGAGACAAAAATAGAGGTAATATTGCCTTGGAAGTGTACAAGAGACCGCCGGGACAGAAAGAGGACATAGCTAAGGAGCAGGCCTGGCCCAGCCACAGGGAACCACAGTGCCCAAGGTCCAGGAGAGATCAGCATGTCATTCCAGACATAGGAATGGGGGGGGTCCAGGGGGGATCAGCGTGTCATTCCAGACACGGGAATGGGGGTTAATTTGAAGCACATGAAGTTTGGTTGTTAGTCATGCTTGCATGTAGAAGGTAGAACTTTGGAACAAGGTCTGAGACGTAAGGGGACAGCCACACAGTGGCACTGTCTTTTCCCCTCATTTGTTCATTTGTATGGAAAGGTCAAAGGATTTTGAGGCAGCAGGAGAAACCAGAGTGCTTCAAATGCACACAATTCCTCCAAGACTGTAATAGTAAAGCTCCTTGAAATGGGTTTTTAGGGTAGAAGATTCCCTAAGAGGTTAAGCAGGCACCATAAGGACTTTATAACCTTAAGTCAAATAGAGGCTGCAGGTGAAGATGTCAGTCCTGGTAGTAGGAGGAAGAAGATTATAAGGCAAGCAAAGAGCTCTAATTAGTAGACTGTTCTGTTCTAAGAGAGCAAGGAGCACCCCAAGAGGCCAAGACTCTGGGGAATGGTGGGTCTCCCTCCTAAAGCAGAGAAAGCAAGTGTCCCCTAATATAATAACTGAGTGTTTGAGGGTCCTGCCGTTCTTAAAGACCTGGAGCTTTGCCTCTGGGCTCTAAGTTAAAAGAGAGATGGCAGCAGCTCCCCCTCCAGGGGGAAGAGGCGGCCCTTCAGCTGAGTGTCCTAGAGGCTGATGTCTGAGAGACCCAGGGCAACAGAGAGGTCACCCCTGAAGGGGGGCAGGCCTGGCCACCCCAGCCTATGTGTGTGCTGTGGGTTCTGGCCACAGAGCTTTCTGGTGGATCCCTGGTGAGTCTCCCAGGGTGAATAGTTATCCTGGGCAGGGGGAGGGAGGGGAGAAGGAAGCCTTCAATTATCCAGCCATCATCCTGTCTGTCTGTCTGTCTCTCTTTCTCTGTCCCACTCTGCATCTGTCTCTGCCTCCTCCTTCTGTCGGTCTCTCCTCTCTTTCTCTGTCTCTCTCTGTCTCTCTCTCTCTCTGTCTGATTCTCTCTGTTTCTGTCTCTGTCTCTTTCCATGCCTGTCTCTCTGTCTTTATCTCTTCTTTTTCTCTGTCTGTGTCTCACTCTGCATCTGTCTCTGCCTCCTCCTTCTGTCTGTCTGTCTCTCCCCTCTCTCTTTCTCTCTATCTCTCTCTGTATCAGTCTCTGTTTCTCTCTGTTTCTGTCTCTGTCTCTTTCCATGTCTGTCTCTCTGTCTCTATCTCTTCTCTCCCTCTATCTCTGTCTCACTCTGTCTCTGTCTGTTTCCTCCTTCTGTCTCTGTCTTCCCCTTTCTGTCTGTCTGTCTCTCCGTCTCTATCTCTTGATTTTCTCTGTCTCTGTCTCACTCTGCATCTGTCTGTTTCCTCCTTCTGTCTGTCTGTCTTCCCCTTTCTGTCTCTGTCTGTCTCTCCCTCTCTGTCTCTTTGTCTCTATCTCTGGTGACTGGAGGGGAAATCAGGGAAACCGGGTTGGGGTAGAGAAGACACTCTCATATGTGTCTGAGTGTATGATTGAGAAGGAAAGAAAAGCCAGCCTTGGTCTGTCACATGCCCTGGATTTCTGAGGAAGGATAAGCAGGGGCCTTGGAGAGTCAACCCAGGAATGTTGAGAAGCTCCCAAGAAACAAATGCTAAAGATACAAATTCAGATACAGAGGGAAACAAAGAAACAAACAGGATGCCCTAGTCAGGAGCTCACATTTATGTGGGTCTAAAAGATATGTGTAGAAGGTGGAAGTGGGGGAGGTGACAGCTGCAGACACAAGAGGGTGGCCCCGTCCGGTGCAGAGTGACCAGAGCCCAGCCGTCTGGATGCTGAGACAGAGCTGGCCAGGAGAGCCAAGGACAACAGGCGCAAGCCTGTTGGGGAAGAGGAGACCAGAGAAGGGGTAGGACCACGGCTTGAGGCAGATGGGATGAGGAGGTGGCTGGGAGGAAGAAAGCAGAGCTCTCCAGTTCTCCCTTTCCTCTCTCTTCTTGGCCAAGAAGAATGCCTTTGGGGCCGAAAAGAACAATGCAGGACAAAAGAGGCAGGCAGAGCCCTAAGACCAAGGAGGACGGTCACCAGGCCCGGCTGGAAGAGCGCTGGGTCCTGGAGCCACGGGCCAAGATACCCGAAAGGTGGCAGGCCAGAAAAGGATCTGGGGGCCTGTTCCCGACAGGGAGAAAAGCAAA